AAGGATGGTGAAGAGATTGAGATAGTTTACAGTTTTTGTTTACTTGGTTCCACAGCCAACACTCTTGGCAACAGCAGCCAGGAAATCAAGAGACGAATTGCAATGGGAAAGTCAACCGTGAGGGACCTCTCAAGAGGACTGAAGAGCAACGATGTCAGGCTGGAGACTAAGGTGCACCTGATTCAGGCTATAGTCTTCACAATTACATGCTATGCATCGGAGAGTTGGACAGTGAATAGGGATGATAGAAAAAGAATTGATGCCTTTGAACTGTGGTGCTGGAGACGAGTGTTGAATATACCATGGAATGCTAGGAGAACAAACAGGATTGTCCTGGAGAGGGTGAAGTCAGAGTGCTACTTGTGTCAAGGATTCTGAAGCTTCGTCTGACATACTTTGGCCATGTTGCAAGGAGGGACTGGTCCTTGGAGAGGGACATCACGTTTGGGCAAGTGGGGAGAGGCGCAGGAGAGGAAGCCCCTCGATGAGATGGATCAATTCTGTGAGTGGAATGGTGGGAATGAGTGTGTTTGAGACGGCAACGTTGGCACAGGATAGAACTGTGTTTAGGGATCTTGTACATAGGGTCACTATGAGTTGCAAGCGACTCGATGGCACATAACAACAACAACTTTTTTTTTGTTTTTTGGGTTTTTTTCCAAGATTTTGAGTCTTCTTTTATTTAGTTTTTTCTTTGTCCAGTTTTTTTAAAGGCATCAAATAGTTTAATAGGAATATAGGAAAATGTAGTTTGGTTCATCAAATGATGCAGAAAATAATGTGACAACAAAAATATCTGATTGCAAGTAAGATATTGTTACACTAGAATCTGCATCTCTATACTTTTATTTTAACAACAACATTTTAAGATCTTGAGATGCAATGCTGCTCGTCACAAGATACTACTGATATACAAACAAAGAAGACCTGGTAACACAACTATTACTCTAAGTATACACTAAACACTAAATCCAGAGAGGAAGAAACAGACTTCTACCAACTTCTGCAGTCTGAAATTTATCAAACATGCAACCAAGATGGATTGATAAGTGGTGAAGAGAATGCAAAAGTTGCAAAGAATGACTAGAAGTAGGCAAATACGGACTTGGCAACAAAATATGAGATTGGAGATTAAATGACTTACTTTTGAAATATCAAAGATTCATTACAAGTATCATTTTAAATAAACATAAATGCTACACATGGACCTCACTTGGACTACACAGGAATCATACTGGCTATTTCTGTGGAAAAGAGTCAAAGAAGCAGCTTAGAAGCAGCAGTCAAAACAAGGCCAAGGGCTGACTGTGCAAGTTCAAAGGGAAACTCAAGAATATGAAAGCAAGTTAACAAGAACCAAACTAGGATCTTGAGTCTATTCCAAATGAACTTAAACAACATCTCAGAAAGATTTGGCGTACTTAGTAGCATCATTGAAGGCCAATCAAGTTGTGGATGTGGTCTATGAAGCACAATATCATAAAAAAAAAGGAGTTCCCCAGCGGTCCCGTGGATCTGTCTCTTGCTTCAACAGTGTTTGGACGGAACAGACCCGGCGACTTCCCCTCTTCCAGCCTCCGACTACCCTTCAACTTCACGTCCAGGCGTAACCTCGGGACCATCTCAACCATCTCCTAATTTTCGGGACCAGATAACACCTTTTTTTTGTTAACTCCGAAACCTCGACCAACTATGAGCTCTCAGATCCGTCAAAATTATTCAGCCAAAGCAGAAGCTGGCGTTAACCGTCTGGTCAACCTGCACCTGCGGGCCTCTTACACCTGCCTCTCTCTGGGTTTTTATTTTGACTGCGATGATGTGGCCTTGGAAGGCGTGGGACACTTCTTCCACAAGTTGGCGAATGAGAAGTGCGAGGGTGCCCAGCGGCTTTTAAAGCTGCAAAACCAGCGCAGCGGGCGAGTCCTCTTCCAAGATATCCAGAAGCCATCCCAGGATGAGTGGGGTAAAACCCTGGACACTATGCAAGCAGCGCTGACCTTGGAGAAGAACCTAAACCAGGCCCTTCTGGATCTGTACGCCGTGGGTTCCACCCACACTGACGCCCATCTCTGTGACTTTCTGGAGAACCACTTCCTGGACGAGGAAGTGAAACTGCTGAAGAAGATGGGTGACCAACATCAGAAGACTGGGTGGCCCCCAGGCTGGGCTGGGCGAGTATCTCTTTTAGCGTCTCACCCTCAAGCATGACTAGGGGTCTGCTGGGACTTGCAGGGGGGAACCTCTGTGTCCCCCTGCCATCAGCAGCAAGCTTCTCTATCCCACCCTGATGTAGAATCTTATCCACCCAGAAGCCCTTGCCCAAGCCTTGGACCAAATGAAACAATAAAGCTTTCTGCAACAGCTAAAAAAAAAAAAGATAAAGGGAAAAACACCAAAACAGATGTTCAAAGAGGTTCTGAAACTTGCAGTGGGCAACAAGAGGCCAAAACAAAGGGAAGAAAGGCTGAAGTAAAAGAGATGAACAGATTTCAAAAGGCAGTTCCAGAAGACAAAGCAAAGTATTCTAATTGCAAAGAGCTCAAGTTAAACAAAGAGGATGCTCAGTATTTCTCAATATGAAAGAACTGATTTAGGCTCAAATTGCAAAACTGAAAAATTCTATGGGCAAAATCTTGAATGATGTAGGAAGCGTAAAAAGATGGAGGAATACAGATATATTGTACCAAAAAGTTGGTCAAAACTCAACCATTTTAGGATGCAGCAAATGATCAAGAATTAATGATAAAAGATGTTTAAGCTGCACTACAGGCACCAGCAAAAAAATCAGGCCCCAGGAATTGATGGAAATTAGAAAGGAGTATTGAATATACCATGAGAATATGCCAAGAGAACATGTCTTTCCTGGAGAAAGTGAAACCAAGTTGCTCCTTGGAGTTAAGGATTTTGAAGTTCTGTCTAATATACTTTGGGCATGCTACCAGGAAAGATCAGAATGACATCATGCTTTGAAGAGTGGAGGGACAGTGCAGGAGGGTAAGACCCTGGATGAGGAATGACACAGTAACTGTGGTAATGGGGGGGGGGGGGGGGGTAGGTGTGTCAGAGGCAGTGAGATTGGCTCAGGATAGGACAGGGTTCAGAGCTATTATGCATAGATTGTTGAGTCGGCATTTAACAATTACTATCCTCAATTTACAGATGAAGCAATAGTACATAGCAGTTAAGTGACTTTCCCAAGGTCACTCACAAATCAAACACCAATCAGATAGAGGTACTGATTGTGCAGGTGTGTGTGGTTAAATGCCTGTCACATGGCTTGGGGCATAGGCTCTCAGGGTCTTTCCCTGACAGAAGAGAGGGTGGGACCCTGTCCATTGTGTTCCTGCTGCACCTGTTTTTCAGTTTTACCCAGAAGTTGCATGAGGTTATGGAAACAGTCAAACACAAAGTTCTATGTGGTGCTCACACTACATCTAAATCAAGTAATGCTCTTTTACAGACCGTATTTCAGACACCAATAGATGCATACCTGTACTGTGTAATCAAATGGGTATTAAAATATTTTATTTCAAAAGGCCTTTGCTTAGCCATCAGTCAAGTGGAAAGCCAAAGCTTCTAGGGGGATACTTTTTAATGTTAACTCAACAGCCCATTATTTATCCTCCTTTTCTGTAAGAGAAACTTGTTTTCAAATTGTTTATAGAGCATAATATTGTTTTATCTTTGAATTAGCATATACTTTGAAATGCAGTATCCTAATATACACCTGGCAAAATATAGCAATCTCAATAATACATTTAGTTCATCCTTTAAAGCTTTCCCAAAATAACTTCTCAATAAAAAAACTTGACAATTGTTACAAGGAAGGTAATGGTCTAGCTAAAAGGAAAAAAAAACACTCCAAACCACTCTGTTAGGGAATACTTTAATAATAAATATCTTTCCAATTACATTTTTTGTCTTGCTTTTTAAGAACTTTGTTGCTACATGCTTTCAAGTTGACTACGACTCTTAGTGACGCTATGAACAATGGATGTCTGAAAGAAGGCTAAGAAGGTACTACTAAAAAAGTAATAGTCTAAGGAAAAAGACTGCTCATGGTATTAAGTATAAACCATAAAGATTTTTCTGTACTTAAATACTCTACCACTGAGCTATGTACCCCCTATATAAACAAGTTTTTCTGATAAAGGGTTCAAAGTTTAAAGAGATGAGAAAGGCAAACAGATACTGTATTACATATTTCAAGAAATATACCAAAATCCCCTCTGTGATTATGAACATACTGTCCAAATACATGAAAAATGTAAATTTCCTGCTTTGAATATTTTACCTAGAGACTAATTTTAAGGATATTTTGTTGGAGAGAATGTTAAAGTCACACATGTATGGTGGAGGTTCTCCAGGCAAGTAGCATTCTGGACAACTGTCTTAACAATTGAGGCTGAACATAACCACAGCCCTGAGTAGGGACTGCAAGAGAATCAAAGGCCTGTTTGCTCATGCTCAGCATTTCTGCTAAATGCAGTAACAGTAATCACTGTTTCCAAGAGCCAGAAGACTCTCTCACTAAGTCTCTACCATCTTCTGCATTCCAAGCACATACAAATAAACATGTCTGCTAATTTTTACTGATGGCCTAGCAGTAGTTTTATTGCTTCAAGGGAGGGTCAGCTGTTAAGTCAATTCCAACTCCACAGAACACAACAGATTTAAAAAGAAATAAAAATACTTATATTCTTATAATATTGTCTTAACTAAGCAAATATTTTTAACTTCCCATAACTCTCTACTCATGAAAACATTTTATAATGACTCATTATGACAACTGAAAATGCATGTACTCACTGAGAAGAGGATTTATTAGCCAGAAGAAAAAACAAGCTTAAAGCATCACATCACATGAGAACATTTTAAGTATGTTCTTATCCTCTAAACGTCAACAAAAGTGGCTTGTACAAAGCGTCTAATGAGTATCAGCCCCAATTAAACAAGCAAAACAGGATAGATTAGAGAAGTTAGAAGCTGGCCACATCACTTCATTTCTTTCTGTTGGTTCCACCTGCTAACATAGTGGCAACTCGCATAAATATATTCAGTGTATCCATGTAGATTCCCATCATCCTAGGAAAGAACAAAATATTATGCCAGTTACATGTGATGCAACACACTATTTTTTCCCCTTCAGAATCTGCCTTTTTTAATCGAGATTTTAATGAAAGTTTATCAAGAACTTAGATTTCCATTCAATCATTGCTGGAAATTTCCCTTCTGACACACTATTTCTTAAACTAGAGAAGAAGAAAAGTACTATTTGTCAGATACAGAAAGTGAAAACAGGCTGTTTAACTGTTACAAACAGCAATAACTCAGACAGACTAATCTCTTAAACATCAAAGCGTGTTTAGAAGCGCTTACCTATACCCTCTGACATTCTACCACAACTTCTCTATCTAGCAGAGAACACTGGACAACAATGAAGTCATCACAACAAACCAAACAAACAAAACCATCTTTCTCCCCTCCCCCCAGCTACAACTACTGAATACTTTAATCAAAGATTCCAAGGAAGAACACTGGTAAAAAAGGATAAAAATGCAGAACAGAATTTTAAACTCTCATGGTCTCCTGACTTCTTGGAGACATGTGTTGTTGTGTTGTTTAGATTAAATCCCTGAATCTGTTGAGATAATCTTTAATACTTAAAACCAAAAGTATTCCCCAAAGATTTTTAAAAACCAAACAATAGTTTAACTTAATGTGCTTATTGATAAAGGTCAAAGACTATATGTTGTTGTTATGTGCCGTTGAGTCACTTGAGACTCATAGCAACCCTATGTACAACAGCCCTAAACTCTGCTCTGTCCTGTGCCAATCGCATCGTCTCCAATACACCCATCCTGATTACCCCAGTCACTGAATCAATCCACCTCATACAGGTCCTTCCCCTCCTGCACTGTCCCTCCACCCTACCAAGCAAGATGTCCCTCTCCAAGGACCTCCTTACAACATGTCCAAAGTATGTTAGACGGAACCTCAGAATCCTTGCCTCCAAGGAGCCGCCCGGTTTGACCCTCTCCAGGATGAATCTGTTTGTTTTCCTAGCAGTCCATGGTACCCTTAATACTCTTCTCCAGCACCACAGCTCAAATGCATCAAATTTCCTTCTACCTTCCTTAGTCATTGTCCAACTCTCTGATGCATAACAACTGATTACAAAGACCATGGCCTGCATCAGACACATCTTAGTCTCCAGAGACATCATTACTCTTCAGTACTTTGGAGAGGTCCCCAACAGCCGACTTTGCCATTGCAATATGTCTTTTAATTTCCTGACTATTGGTGCCGAGAGTGTTGACTGTGGAGCTAAGCAAAATAAAGCTGTGAACAATCTCAATCTTTTTTTTTTAACAAAAATATTAATTTTAATGAAAGTTTACAGAGACTTAGGGTTTCCAATCATTCATTGTTGCACTTTTCTCCCTGTCCACCCCCTTCTCCCCAATTCCTCTTCTCCTTGAAATGTAAAAGAAAAACTCTTTCATTGTTATGCAATCCTTCCCTCTAAGTCCACTCTACTGTGCAGCCTTCATTCTGGACTCCTTGCCAGACACAAGTCTGGCTTTCTAAAATAGAAAGTATTTCCTATTCCCAAAAGAAAATGACTACAAATCTGTACAATTCACAAGTTTTAAAAAAAACTATTCCAGTAGATTTTTAGATAAAAAGTTAAATAATTTTGAAGATGTGACAGACATGAGACTCAAGACAAATTCTTTAAATAAAATAACCTAGTTGGCAAAGTCCAGGAAAGGAAAAGCAGCAATACATCCTAATACTTTGTGTGAGCAGAAGTTGGATAAAGAGGAAATCTTCACAGTCAGAAGTTTAGATGACCAATGAGAGCATATGATGAGAGCACCATAAGGCCAATTAACAAAAAATAGGAAAGATGCTCTGAACCAGCTCAATAGATATTATACTCAGTTGCAACATAATCAAAAGTTCTGTTTATTACATAATAAAAATCTACTGGATTTATTAAAGACAGTGAATAAACCGAAGAGCAACAAAAATAAATATTATAAAGTAATTAAATAGGTCAAATAACAAAAACGCCCTACCTAAAGCGTACAGACATTAAAGACTACTTACGAATTGATAGGATCATATTTTTGTGCTCCATATGTTGGTGTTATTTCTGCACACTTGATTACTTTCTGGGTGTCATATAGAAGGAACATGCTGAAAAGAACTAAACCACCATACATTGCTACTGAGTATAGAGTGGCTCCGGCCACAGAGGTTGGTGGAAGAAACATAGATCCTGAAATCAAAACATGAGAACTTACTAAAACAAAAACTTTGGTATGACCAGGTTTATCATTTCTGTTACTTTTATTATGTTCATAGTTCATGTCTATGATATTCATTCCTACAGTAGCTACTTTCTCACATTAAAAGAAGGCTCATGCATTAATGAAATTTCCAAGTTCTTTAGTTGGTAAAATATCCCACTACAGATGTATTTGGAAAGCTAATAATAATGTTTTAACATGCTGCCAAGATTTTTATATGATTTTAAATAATAAAATTCAAACTGGCATACAGTTTTTTAAAACAACTTTTAAAAAATTACTTAATTTCCTTCATTGGGATAGCAGAAAATTTCAAATCATTTTAAGACATTGTGAACTGAGAACGAAGTGTAAAAGCACAGCAGCTTACCTAGGGAGGACACAAGGACGAGGCCAAGCCCCACCCCCAGAGGTGCGCCCATATTGAGGAATTTCTCACTGGGAGCGCACATGGCCACAGTGGAGAGGCCCCCAACGATGCCAGCTGTGTACCACGCTGCTCTGATAAGGAGAGGCCCCCCTAGTATGGTCAGAGGAGCCACCACTGCCCCCATCACACCTAGAGAAATGGGAAGTGTATGGTTAAATATTTACTGAGAACCAAGGGCAAAGTGATACTCTGAATTGACATGTGGCCATAACATACCTTTTTGTTAATCAGTATGATTATAGTTTTTCTGTATTTAAAAAAAAAAAATTCCAAAACCTAAACCTGTAGCTACCCAAATTTTATATTACAACATTAACACAATTTTCAGTCAGCCACGAGTGGAAAGTACAAACACTGAAAAGTCTTGTAACTCTGTCAAATATATGTTATTACTGGACAGGAATCTTATCACCATTATTTTGTTACTTCTACATGCAAGAATGAAGATAAAAAGGCTTAAGCGGAATAACCAAATGCCAAATCTACTACAGCTAAAAGAAATTAAAAATAAGAGGTTTATCTGATAATAATCCTAAAACTACTACAAATCAGAGACAGAACAAGAATGGTGAAGCTTTGCCTCTTATACTTTGGGTATATTGTTAGAAGGGGCCAGTCCCTGGAGAAGGACATCATAGTTGGAAAGGTAGAAGGTCAACATAGGAAAAGACCCTCACTAAGATGAATTAACACTGTGACTTTAACTGTGGGCTCAAGTGTAGCAGAGATGGTGAGGATGGCAAAGGACAGGATCGTTATGAATTGTAGTCAAATTGATGGCACATAACAATACTCTTAAAACTAAGAATTTCAAGGACCAACACTTTTGCTATCTTGTGTGATAATCACCTGTGACTCATAGTGACCCTATGTACAATAGTCCTAAACCCTGCTTTATCTTGTGCCAATCTTACTGTCTCTGACAGTAACTTATCCCCATTACCCTAGTGGCTGAAGAAATCCATCTCACTGAGGTATATCCCTCCACCCTCCCAAACATGACATCCCTCTCCAAGGACTGATCCTGCCTTGCATCATGTCCAAAATATGTCAGATGACGCTTCAGAATCCTTGCCTCCAAGGAGCAGCCTGGCTTCACTCTCTTCAGGACAAACTTGTTTGTTCTCCTAGCAGTCCATGGTATATTCAATACTCTTCTCCAGCACCACAGTTCAAAGGAATCAACTCTCCTATCATCCCTAGCCATTGTCCAGCTCTCTGACGCATAGTAAGCGATTGCAAAGACCATGGCCTATATCAGGCACACCTTTGTCTCCAGACTGACATCGTTGCTCTTCAGTACTTGAGAGAGGTCTCTGACAGCAGACTTTCCCAGTGCAATTAGTCTTTTAATTTCTAAGCTGCTGGTACCAAGAGTGTTGACTGGAGAGCCAAGCAAACAGAAATTGTCAACAATCTCAATCTCTTCACCATCTATCATGATGCTGCCAATAGGCCCAGTGGTGAGAATCTTTGTTTTCTTGATGTTGAGCTTCAATCCATATTGAAAGCTGCAGTCCTTGACCTTTGGCAATAAGTGCTTCAGGTCCTCCTCAGTTTCAGCAAGCAGGGTTCTGTCATCTGCATTAATGCAGATTGTTGATGTGTCTACCTCCAATCCTGATGCTACACTTCTCATAGAGCCCAGCCTCCTGGATAATCTGTTATGCATATAGATTGAAAAGATATGGTGATAAGACACATCCTTGATGCACATTCTTCCCAATTTCGAACCATGCCATGTTTTCTTGCTCTGTTCTGATGACTGCCTCCTGGTCCAAGTATAGGTTTCACATAAGCACAATCAAGTGTTCTGGAATTCCCATTCTTCTCAGAGTCAACCACAGTTTGCTGTGATCCACACAGTCAAATGCCTTTGCATAGTCAATGAAACACAGATAGGTAATCTCTGCTTTCAGCCAAGATTCATCTGACATTAGTTATTTAATTAAGTGCTTAATTTAAACACCCCCCCACAAACAAACAAACAAACAAACAAACAAAACACACCACACACTCAAAGTATTATTTTAGTGGAGTAGATCAAGTTATTCTTTTCTTTTTTCCCTACTAGTTTATAAAATTAGAATACAAATTTGAATAAATTCTGCCCCCTACCCAACAAATTGAACAACCCAATAATTAATCACCTCTTCCCCCTGCACATCCACATCCCTCTGCTTCCAGCCTCTCCCACCCCTTCAGGATTCTTATACTCATTCTACAATAACGGTTTTATACAATATTGATCTTTGTGAGACTGAGTTAGTTCACTCAGCATAATGCTCTCCAGTACCTCCCAAGTTAGGTAGTAATTTACAAAGTTATTGCTCCTGCATACTACATAGTATTCCATCATGTGAATGTACCATAATTTCTCAATCCATTCACTTGTCGTTGGACATTTGGGCAGTTTCCATGTTCTTGTGATGGTGAATAATGCTGCTATGAACACTGGTATACAGATTTCAGTTTGTGACTCAGTTCTCATTTTCTCAGGGTATATTCCAAGTAGTGGAATAGCTGGAATGCATCTAGAATTCCTATGTTCAGCTTTTTGAGAAAACACCAAACTGCCTTCCAGAATGGCTGCACCATTTTGCAATTCCACCAACAATGCATCAGAGTTCCTTTCTTGCCACATCCTTTCCAGCATCTATTACTTGCTGCCCTGTTAAACATTACCACTCTTCCTGGAGTGAGATGGTACCTCATTGTGACTTTGATTTGCATCTCTCTTATTGCCAGTGATTTGGAGCATTTCTTCATGTGTCTGTTTGCCATCTGAATATCATCCTGTGTGAAAATTCTTTCCACGTCTTTTGCCCATTTTGTAATCTGGTTACAAACTGGGGTCAAGCTTAAAAACGCTAGTCCAAGGTCTAAAGAATCTGCCAAATACAACCAGAAATTCACAATTTAAAAAAGGATAAAATTGATGCATGGGACCTTCTAAAGACTAAATCTCTGTGCACATAAAAAACTTTTTCCAACAGGGTGAAAACTCCCAGACTGGGAACAAACATTTGGTAATACCATCTCAGGTAAGTGTCTTATAACAAGTTTAAAGAATACTCCTGGGCCTCCACAAGAAAAAGACTGATAATCCAAGTTATCCTTTTCATGAACATTAAAGTGCATAGTTTATCTCATGGAACATTTGTAGGTCAAGTAATAGGGATCAGTCAGATTGAAAATTACACGGAATTATACACATAAATATTTGTTCTAGGAAATGGATTCTTTTCTTTTGTATCTACTTCCCCATCTTAACCAATACTGCACTGGAAGTTCTTAGCCAGGGCAATTAAGAAAAGAGATCCAAATAACTAAGCCCACTGGTGTTGAACTGACTCCCACTTACAGTGGCTGCTGGTAGAAAGGTGCCCTGCTAACCCAGTTGCTGCCTATTTCTGGCAATTCAAATCCACCTGAGACTCTACCTGAGAAAAAATGAGCAGTAACCTGGTGGCTGAGTGGCAGGGAACTGTGGTACCAACCCAAAGGCACTTGGGTTTAAATCCATCAGCTGCTCTGGAGAAGAAGGATGGGCAATTTCTCCCCATGCAATTTACAGCTTCTGAAAACTTGCCAGAGGGTCAGCTATGAGTCTGTTCCAACTCAATGGCACATAACCACCCTCTCCCTTAGTGATGAGTCTTTGGATATTGTTGATTCAAATATAGAGTTTCAGGGTCACTGTGAATTAGAAGTGACTTGTCAGCAAGTTTTCAATTTTCACAGCAACCATGTAGGACAGGAAAGGAAAAAGTAAAGCTGTATTTTCAGATGGTTTAACCTTCTAGAGAGAAGGACCTAAAGATTCCACAACATAAATGGGTGGAAGAATTTATTAATGTTGCAGATTACAATATGAACACACTAAAGTCAGCTGGGTTCCCCTTCACCAATAAAGACTACTCTGAAAAGAAATTAAGAAATGACACCATCTACAATAGCTCCCAAATTGATAACATACCTCAGAATTAATCCTAAGTAACGATATAAAAAAAAACAACAAAAAACATACAATGTAAATTACAACTACCCCAAGAGACTAAAAGACAAAAACAGAAATCCCAAATTCAGGGATGTGAAAATTTAACGCAGCGAAAATGTTAATTCTAACTAAAGTGATGTATAGGCAATTCAATTTAAATCCCAGTAACATTATTTACTGAGATGGAAAACTAATGATACAAGAATAAAAGAGACAAGAACCCTTGACCATTGCTGATGGGACTGTAAAATGATATATCACTCTGGTAAACAGCATGGTGCTTTCTCAAGAACTAGATATAGCACACCCTACGTTCTAGCAATCCCAGCCTAGGGATATGCCCTAAACCAGAACAAAACCCCCAGACCCCATATCAATGAGCCAATCTGGACTTAAGGCAACTCTCCAATAGGTTCCTGAGGCTATAAATCTCAATGGGAGCACTGTTCTCCTAAGGAATTGAGGGTGAGTTTTTAAAGCTACCAGCCTCTGGTTAGCAGTCCAGCATGACACAATCAGAGTTTCTGTGGTATATACCCTAGAAACCAAAAGACAGGACAAAAACGCACACCTATGTTGACTGCATTTTAATCACAATAGCAAATAAATGGAAATAAGTGAAGTGTCCATCAGCAGATAAATGGAAAAGCAAACTGTGGTGGTGGTGGATGTTATGTGCCGTCGAATTGCCTGCAACTCATAGTGACCCTATGCACAATATAGCCCTGAAACCTGCTCTAACCTGTGCCAACTTTACTGTCTGTGACACACCTAACCTCATTACCCGTCACTGAATCAATCCATCTTATCGATGGTCTTCCTCTCTTTCTCTGTCCCTCCCCCCTTCCAAGCATGATGTTCCTCTCCAAGGACTGGTCCCTCCTTGCAAACTGCCCAAAATATGTCAGACGAAGCCTCAGAATCCTTGCCTCCAAGGAACAGTCTGGTTTCATCCTCTTTAGGACGAACCTATTTGTTCTCCTAGCAGTCCATGGTATAGTCAATATTCTTCTCTAGCACTCCATCTCAAAGGCATCAATTATCTTTTCATCCCTACTCATTGTTCAGCTCTCTGACGCACAGTAAGCAAATGTGAAGACTATGGTTTGGATCAGGTGCACCTTAGTCT